CTGGTGTTGCCTACTGTGGAAGGTGAGCACTGTCTTGATTGGTCTGACAGTGATGAGTGACCATATTAATTTCATTCGTGCTATCACTTTTGCAAGATTAATAGTAGTTACTCGTACTTATTGACCGACTTAGATCGAAGTGACTTTTATTTACTTCCCTATTTCTAAATGGCATTCCCATTAACCTTTTCCTACAATACAAAAGAAAAAGGATTAAGCATATTGTTAGTTATTGATCAACAGAGGATCCAGGTCAGCTTGATTTGCTCCACTATCCCACTGTCTATAAATTCTGTGGTATGAACTTCATCGTTATCTCGGGATGCAAATAAAGAAAACTATGGAGCAACATATTTATAATAGACTGTGCTAGCATAAGAAATGTTTATTGATAGGTTTGCATAGTTTCAAGTCTTTATGGTTTTTGCTCTCTCCTAACTAAGCATGAACACCAATGGAGATTCTAACATGCTACATTTCTTCTGCGGTAAGCTATGTATTATTTGTTGTGATGATCATTTTTCTACTCGCCCAGATATGATGATGCCTGGAAAATATTTGAGAGTATGGAGAAGAACAATGTCCAACCTGGCCACATAACATCCTCAATCATGTTAATGGTAATGAAGAAGCGCAAGGCATCAGCCAAGGATTCATGGGAGTTCTTCCAACGAATGAACAGAAAAGGTGTCAAGTGGAGCTTGGGTGTCTCTGCTTCTCTAATTAAGATATTTTGCGACGAGGGGCTGAAGAAAGAAGCTCTTATCTTCCAATCAGAAATGGAGAAGAGAGGAATTCCATCAAACACGAGCATTTATAACGCAATAATGAATGTATATTGCAAATGCAGTCAAATTGAAGAAGCTGAGGGGCTCTTTGCTGAGATGAAAGAGAAAGGCTTAAAACCAACAAGGGTGACGTATAATATCCTTATGGATGCTTACAGTAGAAGATTGCAGCCAGAAGTTGTTGAATCGTTACTTCTGGAGATGCATGATTTGGGATTTCGGCCAAATGCTAGGTCATACCACTGCCTCATAAGTGCCTATGGGCGGCAGAAAAAAATGAGCGAGAAGGCTGAAGATGCTTTCCTGAGGATGAAGAAAGGTGGCATTAAGGCAACATCTTCTTCGTACACATCACTGATTTGTGCATATGCAGTGAGTGGACAGTATGAAAAAGCTCTCATTGCATATTTAGATATGAAAAGAGAAGGACTTAAACCTTCCTTAGAAACATATACAGCTTTGCTTGACATATTTAGGAGGGCTGGCAACACAGAGAAGTTAATGGAGACATGGAAATCAATGACCGATGAAAAGGTTGGATGCACTAGAGTCACATTTCACATGGTACTTGATGGGTTGGCGAAACATGGGTTGTATGTTCAGGCAAGAGATGTAATATGTGAGTTTGGAAAAATAGGTTTACCTCCTACAGCTATGACCTACAACATTTTGATGAATGCTTATGCCAAGGGAGGACAGCATTACAAATTGCCCCAACTCCTGAAAGAGATGTCTACTCTGGAACTAAAACCAGATCCAGTTACATATTCTACAATGATATACGCATATGCTCGCGTCCGCGACTTCTCGAAAGCATTCTATTACCACAAGCAGATGGTTCGGAATGGACAAGTGCCTGATGCTAAGTCATACAGAAAGCTGTTGAATACCTTGGATGTGAAATCTGCAAGGGAAAACATAAAGGATAAGAGTGCCATTGCAGGAGTTGTAAAAGGCAAATCTAGCTTAAAACATAGGAAGGAAAAGAAGGATGAATTTTGGAAGAACAGTAAAAAGAGGTCTATGACCCAAGTTAATGGATACCAGAGAAAAAGATTTTTGTGATGTTTTACTAAGTGCAAGTTTCATTGCCTTCAGTACTCATCCCTTGTGTTATATCATGGGCTCCACGCTTTAATTCTCTTGAATTGTTCAGGGTTTTAGGTCAGAAGCTATGGGGCGTGTTATTAATTCCATAAGCATTCACTTTGACTGTCTAACTGATCTCATGGTCTGAATACACTTAATTTTGCATTTTAAATTGCTTGAGCTTGAACAACATCCAGTTAAATGAACTCCAAATGTTTTTTATTTTTATCATGAGAGGACTTTTAAACTGCTCTTTTAGGCTTTCTGATGTTCAAACTAGAATCTGATACATTGAAAAGATGCCCTTTGGATCTTATGAACAGATTGTGTTTTGTTTTTGAGTCAAGGGAAAATCCCCAGTTCCATCCAGTTTTCTTTTTTGCAGCTCCGTCGTATAGAGGAAGATAATTTTGATTTTCATTTGCACATTCCCTATTTCCTAATTAGACAGGAGAATTTGTAATATTTTTTCTTTTCTTTTGAGAAAAGGCAAAGGCCAGCTTTTTTATAGAAAACTTTACAGAGGTCCCCACCACCGGTGGTTTATATTCTTTTTTCCACTATTGCAAACAAAGACGTGAGAACGCCATTGCTCCTACAAAAACACCAACTACTGTATTGTTGCACAGTACACATTGAGATTGTTTTCATTCTACTACCACCCCCTTCACAAATATAAGATGTTCTGCATATTGCGATACGGACTATATACGGACTAAAATGAGTGAACAAACACATTAAAACGTGTCTATATACATTCGATTCAGAAAAATATGATCGAAGGGAGTATATTACACAGTTTACATCGGCCTCATTTGAATCCATATGGTTCCAGGGATTTCTTTTCTGTTGCCATTGATTCTTGCAATCATGGTGGAAAGTCCAGCAATAAGGCAGTTTTCATTGATGTAATCTTCTCAAGGTATTCTTTTTGTGCTACTCATTTCACCAAACCGATCTATTTCAATCGTTTTGTCTATTCCCACATCGATTCACCAATCCTGGAACTCATTAGTTTCAATTCCCATTTGAGACCAACAGCCTTCTAATCTGCTGGAGGGTCAACCATGATCAAGTCTGTTATGGATGACATCTCCTCATCCATGGCTCTTTGCCAAAATGCTTCTTTCTTTGTTTCATCTAGAGTTGTAGGCTCCTCTATTCCCAACATACACAAATTGTCATATTCGAGGTCTAGCTCAGAGGGAGGCGTGTTATCCAGCAAATTCCTGAATGTTGCAGTAACCTTGTGGTCCAGCACTTGCCGACTGCACTGAACTCTCTGGGCTCACGTCATACCCACCCATTATGCCAGGTTGTGGCACCGTTGGTGTTGACGGAGTGCTAGGAGTAGCCTCAGCTGCAGTTCCACTTGCTTCTGGTGTCTAACATGAAGACTATCTTACACCGCTTGACCTTCCGATGGAGGTGCTTAGGAAGATTGACTCCTTGCGGCGTGCCTATCTTTGGGCTGGTTCGGACAAGGTGTCCAGTGGCAAGTGTAAAATCAGCTGGGAGCTAGTCTGCAAGCCTAAGGAGTTTGGGGGCCTCGGAGCTCTTAACCTTGGGAAGTTCGCTACTGTGTTGCGCTTAAGATGGTTGTGGCTTGAATGGGATGACCCTCCGGGAGCTTGGTTTGGCTTGGGAACTCCGTGCAACAACAAAGATCGGGACATCTTAGCGGCAGCCACTAAGGTTACAATTGGTGATGGCGCCACCGCGAGATTCTGGGAGTCATCTTGGCTGGAGGGGATGAGGCCCAAAGACATTGCACCAAAAAAAATTTAGATCTCGCGGAAAAAGGGGACCACGGTGAACAAGGCTTTGAGGGATAATGCTTGGGTTAATCACATCGATACCCAGCATGGGATGACGCTTGCTCACATTCAACAATTTGCCACTATGGGAAAAGCTAGCCAATGTCAACATACAACCTAGAGTTCGTGATTCTATCATGTGGAAGCTCACTAATGCCGGGACTTACATTGCATCGTCGGCTTACAAGGCCCAATTCGCTGGACATCTACGCTCACCCTTGTAGGATATGGTTTGGAAGGTTTGGTCACCCCCCAAATGCAATTTTTTTGCTTGGTTAGTCACTCAAACAGGATTTGGACAGCGGATAGACTTCAGCATAGAGGATGGCCCAATTGCGATCAATGCCCTCTTTGTAGCCAAGTGCAGGAATCGGCGGCCCACCTCCTTTTCAAGTGCCGGTTTGCAACTTGCGCCTGGAAGGAGGTGTTCTCATGGCTGGATCTTCAAGTTGACACGACGAATTGGCATATCTTCACCACGGTTAAAGCTTGGTGGCAAGGAATCATCAACATTGCTCATCAAAGAAAGGCTCTCTCATCGTTGATCCACCTTGTTGGATGGGAGATTTGGAAAGAAAGAAATGCGCGCGTCTTTAGAAATAAAGCGGCACCAGTGGCCGTCATTGTTAACCTTATTATGGAGGAGGCAGCGCTTTGGGCTATTGCGGGTGCCAAGCATTTGTGTAATGTAATGCCGCGAGAGTAATTAGTTAGCGTTTGTGCTGCTTGAGCGGCGTGTATCTCACAAACTTCTCTCTTAATCAATGAAAATGGCAAGTTTTTTGCCTTGTTTCAAAAAAAAAACATGAAGACTAAGAAGTGTGCTCAGATCTCATTGTAGTCTCCAATGGTGAAAGTGGTTAGGATAGTTTCTGATCAAAATTGTTTCCAAATCTGGTTTTATAGGGTATGGTAAGAGATTTTTGACATCCAAACAAAATTTGATCCGAGTCCGACCGATACGATGCAATATATGATATTTTTTTAGGGTTAAAGCATAGCTTTATTACGGTAACGAGTTACTAATGGGTAATTGCTTCAAAAGAAAATGTGCTTGAAGTATGACTAAATTAGAAAGGTTTAAGCACACAACTCAATTGTTTAATACTGCTACACAAAATAAGTGTTTTAAATTCTTCATTAGCAGATAAGATACGTACATCCAGGAATTTTAAAATCAGTAGCAATGTTGTCACACATGCGCATTCAAGGTGCTTGGCCATCAAAATTGGTGCAAACAAATGTACGAACACAATCCTCTAACCTATCGCTGAGTATTTCATGAGGCGAAGGGGAGTTTAGTAATTCAAGCTCCAGATAACCAATATAAATCTTCATCAGGTTCAGAATGCAACGATATGTTATAAACTAAATCCTCTAGCATCACGTATATTTCATCTCTCTCTGGATGATTCCGGTCTTCCACGAGGAAAACATGAACTATATCTTTTACTTCAATCCAACTGCACCCTGGTTCCTTTTTCACATCGAGACTTCTCAATCTTGTTCTTACCTTCACAACATCTTCCCACTTCCCCAATTTAGCATAGATATTAGACATGGCAACATAGGCAGATATATGCTCTGTGCCCATGCAAAGCAACTTCTCGGCAACTTTCTCACCCATCTCCAAGTCCATTGAATACCAGCAGGCAGTGAGTAGGGCTCCCCATACCACCCTATCTGCTGGTACAGGCATTTCAGAGATGAACTTCTCAGCTTCTCTGATGCGTCCAGTCCGACCGAGAAGATCGACAGCACAGGTATAATGCTCGACAGTTGGTACTAGTCCATAGCTTTCCATAGAGTGGAAGAACCTCATCCCCTTGTTAACTAAACCAGCACGAGCACTAGCCATAAGGAGGCCCAAAAAAGTGATTTCATTGGGATTGATATGATGCTTCAACATCCTTCCAAATTCTACTATAGCTTCCAACCATTGACCATTCTGCGCAAGCCCATTGATGAGCGATGTCCAAGAAGCGACGTTTGGTGACGCAATGCAACAAAATGCGCTACGTGCATCACTGACACACCCACATTTCAAGTACATATCCACAAGGGCTGTCCCAACATAACTATTGGACTCGAATGGAGTCTTGCAGAGGTGAGCATGCACCATTTTGCCTTGCTCAATGGCTCCAACAGCAGCACAGGCATGCAATAGAGCAGGGAATGTTGACGGGCTGCATACAATTGGCAATCGACACATGACCACAAATAGTTTTAGAGCTTCTGAAGGATGATCATTCTGAACGTAACCAGAAATCATAGAATTCCATGTTATCGTGTTTCCTTCATCCTTTATTTGCTCAAATAGCTTCAGTCCATCCTCCAACTTTCCATTCTGTAAAAGAACTGACATCATGGAGTTTAAGGTCACGATATTTCTCCGAGGCATCTTTTCAAACATCCTCTGACAATCATCTAGTCTCCCTTCAATACCATACAGTTTAATCATCAGATTGTAGGAACCCGAATCATGCTCTGGCATCTTCTGGAAAACTATCTTTGCTTCCTCCGTCCTATGCATTGATATAAGCCCCCCAATCAATGCATTGGATGTGATCAAGGACGGCTTTGCCAGGTCACTGTAAACCAGCAAGGCATCACCCACAGCATCAGAAGTGCAGTAAAGATCCACAAGAGCACTGGTGATGAACTTGTCGGTATCAAACCCGCTTCGAACCAAACAGCTATGAACCGATCTCCCAAAATCCAATGCTCCCATCTTCACGCAAGCCCTCAAAACACTGTCGAAAGTGAATTCAGTCGGCCTCGCTCCATCATCGGCCAACATCTGAATGAATAACCAAATCGCTCTGCGACAGCACTCGCCTGCTCCTCGTGCATGGCCCGATATAACAGCGGTCCACGCAAACACGTCACGAGGCGCAGGCATCCTCTCGAGAAGATCCAGGGCATCACCCGGCAGGTTGAACCTCACAAGCGCGACGACCATCGGGCTCCACATTAGCTCATTCCTCGGATGAAGGGAATCGAAGAGCGTGTGAGATGCGCGCAGATCGAAGCACGAGGAGTACAAGTCGAGAAGAGAGGGCCCCACGACCTCGAAGCTCTCAGACCCGGACTTGACCACCTGGCAGTGCACCTGTGCCCCGACCTGAAGGAGGCGGCCGCGGGCACAGGCGCCAAGCACCGACGCGAAGGTGGCCTCGCTGGGGCTCACCCCCGAGCGGTGCATGCGCGCGGCCGCGTCGAGCGCGTCCAGTACGCTCCCGCGCCGCGCGTGGCCCGCGATCATGGCGTTCCAGGTGACCACAGTCCGGCGCGGCATTCCGTCGAACAGCCTGCGCGCGGCCGCGGTGTCGCCGCTACTGAGCAGAGCCGTGAGCCGCATGTTCTGCGCGGTGACGGACGCATCTTCGTCAGGCTGGGTCGACGAGTGCCGCGGTGAGAGCCTGCTTGCGGTTGCGGGGGTAACCGGTGGTCTTGGTCCGCGCAAGGCAAAAGGTCTGAACCTGGAGAGCATGCAGTAGTCTCGCGGAGGCTGGAAGGGCGCTGCGTGGTGGCGAGCCGCCCGTCGCTAGTTTGGCCCTTCGGCAGGCGCTTTCTTCGCCCTGGGGCATCTAGTTTCCAGTTACGCGCGTCGTGCCGCCCCAAGATCTCATAAATTCAAACTTGTCATTTCCGCTATCAAAAAAACGTCGCAAGTCCGGCGATCACCGTGTCACAGTTCGGCGATCAATAACTTGAAAGTTCGGCATTCAAAATGAAGGACGCGTAGGCAATGCATCAAACGGCGGCGTCGACCTCCGGCGGCGGACTGGCGGGAGACGGCGTGCGCGGGCTGGTCAGCGTCGGTGCGGCGTCTGTGCTGGGCGTCGTGGAGGCATCATCGCTCGGGCTTGGCGGTGGCGTTGGGGTCGGCGTGGGAGTTGGCG